AAATCGGATGAAGCGCCCCAACAGTTTATCTGTTCTGTGGGGCTGCAGCAGTTCTGTTGGAGTATATTGTACATCGTTTCCTGAACTTCTTGGGGTTTGAATGTTTAAAATCATGAATGAAAAATCCTACAATGTTGGGCTGTTGCAGAAAGGCTCGTAATCAATGCTGGATCATCTCTTTTGGCATGAGCTTTAGTTTTTTCCCTTCTGTAGGGAACCTGTATCTGTTTCCTGCATCTGTCTCCCATCCTTCTTTGTGAATGGAAAGCAAGTAATTAATTTTTGTTGTTGTTAGCAATTAATTACCCTTGCCAAATCTTGGAGGACCTATTGTCTCCTTCAGACACAATGTTCTTGGGAAAAAGTCTTACTTATTGTAACCTCTTGTGCAATCTTCGCTTGGATGATAAATACATCTTGGCAACAAGGACCTTTCTGAATGAAAAATGTTGCTGGACAACCCTGTAGTACAGCAAGAACGCAAACCTCTGCCAATGCTGGTGGAGTGCAGCCAGGCGGGAGGGTAAAATGGGGAAAGCCTTTTGCATTGCCTACAGAGCACAGAGTGAGATGAAGTCTTTATATGCACACATCCAGATATCTGTTTACCATCAAACAAGGATTTTCCCTCTTGAGCATCTGAGCTGAAAGGTGGCCTTCCTTTTAGCAAAATCTTGCAATCTGTTGGAAAGCTGCCATCTACCACCGTGAGACTGGGGAAGTAACAGAGAGCATGTGGACCATGCAGCCATCTGGTTTAGGTAGACCACTGTAGGAATGAGTTGGGAAACTCCACCCTCCTCATTTTTCTCCATGAATCCACACATTTGGGATCCTGCAGAGTTTCCTCAATCTCCTTTGTGGTTTAGGTTTTCCATTATATCTCTGCAGAACCATAGCTGACCACTGAAACCTTGTTTTAATATTGCAGCTGTAACATTAATTACAGAGTTAATAAAATTAATTGTAAATTCACATTTTCCCCTTGTAGCTTTTCAGCTTTACTTTTTCTGGTTTATTTTTTCACCAATAATTAGTGATGTCTGGAAGCAAAAGATGCATAGAAGCCGTGCACGGAGAGATGTTTGAATCCTCCAAAGGGAATACACAGAACACAAAAAATGAGTTTGGGCCGGGACCGCTCTGTTCCTTTGTGGTTTATGAGCACACTGCCAGTGGCTTGTGTTTCTCCTTGGAGCCTGACAGCTGGCTGTGGGGCAGCAGAACACAGTCAGCAGCCGGGTTTCTCAACCCCTGCTGTAGCTGACAGCATTTGGCCTGGTGAAAAGGAAACGATCTGAAGCAAAGGGCCTGATGCAGTGTACCCTGCAGTTAATGGAAATCTTTGTTGACCTCAGTAGGAGCTGGATTTGATCCTGTGCCTACTTGAGCGTTTTGGCTACAGCTCCAAGTGGATTTTTTTTTTCCTGTCTCATTTCTGGTCTGTTTTTTTTCCCCTTCTCTTTCTAAGATATACTTACCTTAGAGTGGCATACAATCAAGACAGCTCTATCTGTGTCAGTGTAGCTGTGCACTCTTATCCTCCCTCGATATCTGCCCTCTTATTTCCTCAGCCCTTCTACTGTCTACCGTATCAGTTTGCAATATTTTGTCATTGATTTCTCTCCTTCTTGACCATTCTGCTGCTTCTCACAAACACCCTCCATCTCACTTAAGCCTCTGCTCTCAAACCAGTGTAATTACTGACACTGCTTAATCCATCTTCTGTCCTTTTTCCAAACAGTCCTTATATTGATTTCTGGCAGATGCAGCTCAGGCTCTGGCCTCTGCTGCCAGTGGGGAGCCAGCTTCCCCTTCAGCAGGCTCCTGGAGGCCAGCCTTTCACTGTCTTATCCCAGCCCTGCTGCCTTACTCAACAGAGGTCGTTGCTGCATTGAGTATTGGAAGGAGAGGGCCACCATGCCCTGAGAGCCAGCAGCCACCTCGGGCAGAGCACATCCTCTGTGAGCCCCAGCCACACATTAGTGTGTCCTCCGTCCCTAATGAAAAGGTGCTGGAAGTAAAGGAGCCCTTTTCAGGTGGCTACCAGAGAGAAGAGAGCTGTAGGCATGGACAGTGGCGATGGGATAAACAATGCTGAGGAGGACGAAGGTCAGCTCAAGCTTCTTGTTGCTCTCCACTGTTCTGGAGTATCATGTGCCCCCAGAGAGATTTGTCCCCTGGGTGGAGAATTATATGTGATCTGCCTCTGAGGAAAAACCTTTTCCTTTTGTATGTGGAATGTTTGGGGTGTTTTTTGTTGGTCACTCTCCATTTGCTTGGAGATGATGTGAGGTTTTTGTGAACCAGCATCAGAAACTGGGGCTATTTTGTGTCTCATGAGAGCTACAGAGGAAAGGGCCAAAGCTACAGGATGGTGTACAGGAGAATCACAGGTGTTCTTTTCAGCCACGAAAAAGCTTACTTCATTTTTCCAGCAGTAATGTAAGTTCTAAGCAAATAGGGTATGTAATGAGGAAACCCTTGGGAGGATGGGAGCTGACCTCATGAAAGATGAGAAGCAGTGATCTGGAGCATGGGGCTGCAGTGCGAGGGCAGGATTGCCAGGGACACACCTGCTGGTCCCAAGCTCTTGCTGGCCTCTTAGGTTATCCAGCAGTGCACAGAGAAATCTGTTGTGCTTGTCTCCTCACATTATTCCCGCTGAAGCTTAAATATGAATCCCCTAATATATGTGCTGAAGGTAAAACATGCAGTGGCTTCGAGAATACCATTGTAACTTTTACTGTGCTTTTCACACCTAGGCAATGGCAATAGAGGAGAAAGTCCTGCCACAGTATGGGTAGGAAAAGCATTGCTTTCAGAGGTGATATCACCTTGCTGGTGATAAAAAATTATCCTATTTTAGCTCCTTTGAATTGTATACAGCCAACACAGCTAAGAGAGGGAGAAATGGATTATATGGGCTGGTTTATTAATCATGAATATAATTGCTTACCAAGCATTTATTTTCTTGGTACTCCATTGCAGACAACACCAAAAAACCCCAACATCCAAGCCAGCACAAATGTGTGTATGGAGCACATTTGGTTTAGGAAACTGTAAGACTTGTGAACTAAAGCTAGATCCAACTGCTGTAAATCACAGAATCGCAGGATCAGAGTGTGTTAGCAGCCCTGTGGAACAGGGCTGTAAAGCCTGGAGTCCCTGGGTGATGAGAATGCTGAGCACTAGGATGCAAATTTGCTAAAACTTTAGAAATGTATCCACAAGAAGAAAAAGAAAGAGGAAAAAACATTATGGGAGATTCTTTCCTTTATACATAATAGTTTTCTGTTGATTTAAAATTGTCCTTAGTAATGTGCTGATGCCAGTGAAGTATTTCAGCTATAGGAAATGTGAAACCAACTACTGCCTTTCTATGAATTATGAATCATAAATTGTATGAAAAATATTCAGCTTGCTATAGCTGTTCCCCAAGCAGAACCTCTGAGTAATGGAGAAAATGCTGCCATTTTGGGGGGAGTAGGAGGGGAACAAGCTAAGTGAAGCAAAATGCCAAGTTGCCAGCGTGTGGCTCTGTGCTAAGTGTGAATTAGTGTCATCTGAGATGATCTTCCCTTGCTAAGTAAACAATTAGCGAGTATGTTACATGTGTTCGCAGTTCAGTCAAGCGGAGCTGCTCTTTGCTCCAGCCGGGACTACCTGACTGCCAGCCAGTGCACAGAGCTGACCCGTGCGAGGGCCGTGTGCCTGTACCAGCCCAGCCTTCACATCTGCAATCAATCAGCCAGGCCAAGGAGGCACAAACTCCATCTGATTCAGTGCTCGGTGGGCAGGTTGCAATGACAGAATTCCCCTAAAGATAGCAGTAAAGTGGCAAGATAATAGGATACTGATGTTTGCAGGCAACTCCTTGGGGTGGAATTCGTTTCATACAGCTTCAGCCATCCAAGAGCTGGGAGTCTAGTTCAAGTTAGTCCTCTAATCACCTATCATTAAAGGTCAGTTTATCTCCTGTTATATCTATTTATGAATTGCCTTTTGAAGGTGATTATAGAAAGGTTCTCAGCAACTGCTTTTGACCAGGTATCTAAGTTTCTGATGGTTGAATTCAGTGAGTTCAATTCACTGAATTCAATTCAATTCAGCATTAAAGCTCTGGATTTCAGTTTCTCCATCATTTTAGAAAAGACCATGCAGCCTCATGAGGATTTGTGAATTTTGTTTTGCAGTCATGCAGTGCTAGTCATTGTTGAAAGGTGTTCTTTATACCTGTGCTATAAGTAAAAGTGCAAACAAACTGCAGGGGGCTGTGACTTGCTGGCTGCAGAACAGGGGTTACTAGAGTAGTTGTGTTAGAGTAGTTTATCTAGACCATTCATATTGGCCCCAGTTTTAGCTTTCATGTTGTGTGTCTGGCACTCACATTAACTGCTCAGTGATGGACATGTGCCCAATAAAGTACAGCTGAAAAGACTAACAATGGGACGTTCAGTTTGGTATGCCTAGTCATTTTCCAAACAAATAGTGAATGATGTCCCAGCTCTACTGAAAACAGCAGTTTTTCTTCCCCATTGACTCTAGTGAGCAGAAATCAGCCCCCACCTAATTAATCAGCTTCTTGTGGCATCTGTGAAAGGATAAAGCTTTTACTGTGTTCAGGTGTGACTAAGAGACATGCTCTCAAATACCAAAAGCTAAATATTTCATTTCATTTCATCCAGTGTCAAACTATGCTGCCTTTACCAGACCTGATTCAAAAATTATTTTAAGGAATCTTAAAGCACGCATTTCAATCTGATGCTTCTTTAATTGCCAGACTCTGGGAAGGTTGTGTGTTTTGTTATTTTCTTCTTTTACTTTTTGAGTTGTGTAAGGCATGCAGATGTTTTCAAAATACGAGTCCCTTTAGTTTCAGACAGCTGTGATGTGATGTTTAAAATGTTTCTATAAATGTAAAAACACTGCTTACTAGCCTGCGGTACAATGCTTGGGTTTTGTCTCAGTGTGATTCAATTCTTGTTTGCTTTATACAGGAGATGGCTGTCCGAGCACTGAAGCAGACGGGCAGCAGAAGTATTGAAGCAGCTCTGGAGTATATCAGTAAGATGAGCTACTTGGATCCTAGAAATGAACAGATAGTACGTGTAATTAAGCAAACCTCACCAGGTAAGCGTGAACTTTTTTTTTTTAATTTGTGTTCTTCTTTCCTGCAATAAGCTAGTTTTTAAAGTAGGGTTGTCACTGGGGAGAAGTAGTGGATTGACAGTGTTGCATATAGTCTTGTAGGAGACAGTAAACTGAGTATGGCCCTGCAAGGTGAGCTGGTCTGTAACATGAATACAGCTCACCTGCTTCGAAAGAGTTGTCTACGTACACATTCATAGTCCTTCTTAAACCGAAATCTGTTTATCCTTTGGTGCTAGTCAGCTCAGTCGTCTCAAGTTTACTGCGAGGTAAAAGCTTGTGCTTGTAGGTAATTGCTATGGAGTTGTGAAATAGCTCACTTCCCAGGAATTCCGTTCATGTTAACATCCTTTTAAGTACACTGCAAAAACAGTGAGGGCCAAGATGGCAGAAGCTTTTCCACTCATCCCTGCTAGCTTATGCTGTTTTATGTAAACTAGCAAATTGGAGCGTTTGGGCCCTGCATATGCCTCATCAGCCAACATCAGACCATAGCTGACAAAAGGCCTTGCAAGAGTTAATTTCATTCAGATATTAGCACTTAACCGCCCTGCAGAATGTCTTTGGTCTGGTTTGGATAGACTTTGTGACTTCTTTCAGTTTCAAAAATTGGCCAAGCAGACAGAGACCCATCCTCTGCCTCTTGGTCAAATTGAAGATCTTTGTTGGGAAAAGTGTTCAGTTTGGTGTAGCTGATTGAGAGGCATGTCCAAAGATGAGAAAAGCTGAGGAAGAGAAATCCCACTCGGTTTACAAAGAGAAATCCCAGACAGGAGGGGGATCTTCATTAAAGCCACTTCTTTCCTTGGGGGACCCTGAGGGTAGCCACATGCAGGGAAGAATCTCGTTTTTCAGGTGGTCACTCTCAGAAATGAAGCTTCAGATGTGGTGGAAAAGGGTGACAGTTCTGGCTGTATAAGGAGCAGATCAGCTGCCCTTTCTGTCGTCTTAGACTTCCTGTTTTATTATTTGGGGAAATTCTGGAAACCTCTAAGAAAACATTTCTGAGAGTGTTAGCCTGCAGAATGCCTACATGACAGACTAAGTAGTACTGGCCAATTTGTTATTTGGAGAGCTCTGTCCTAATACATGCTCAAATCTGACCTCAGCTGGGCCTTAAACAAAATTCCAAATAACTTTGATGGAATTACTAAACTGTATTTTGCTTTATGTTATAAAGGCTTTTTTCCTTAAACTGAAAGAACACACCCAGTCCTAAAGAGCATACATTTCCCATGAAAGGGTTGAAAAACCTTTCTAGGCTAACATTTTAATTGCTCAGTTGTCTTTCATTTGCATCTAGTTTTGCTTTCTTATCGTTGCAATGCGTGCAGCTGTTTTGAATATTTAAGCTTTCCAGATGAAGATACACCTTTCCTTTTAGGATACACAGAATACAAAACTTAAATATCATGCAATTGATGTTTGCCTGCCTAAAGTGCCACAAAATCATACTGATGTGTTTGATATGGTGTTGTTTGTGCTAGGATAGCATATGTCTCCTCTGGTTCTTAGGAAGCATGTGATGCTACTGAGCAATTTTTCATTTGCAGTTTGAGAATTTAAATCTTCTAGTTTTGAATTCCATTTACTGGTGTATGGCAATAGACTATTCCTATCCATGTTGGATAGAAGTATGTGGAAAAAAAAATCATCTGCAGCTACCACGTTTGGTGTCTTTACAAATCCAAATACTCCTCTATCAGACCAGAACAGACTTACTGATATACAAATCTAGGAGGTGGACATCATATCTCTCTTGACATCAAGATTCTTTGCACAGCTGAATTATGTGTCCCAAAGAAGGACAATTATTGCTGCTACTTTCCCTCATGGCCTCTGATAGGGGAAAGCAAAATCAGTTTGCCTCTGAGGCTCAGCATGAATCCTACTGACAGAGATGACAAATGGGTCTTATGGCTGCCTCCCACTTCCAGGCCAGAGTACACACTTCTTAGGATGCCACAGCCTCATCAGTACCTCTCACTGTGTCCCAACAGATGAACTGTCAGGGGCTGTTGTTTTAAATACAGCCTCGGTAAGCTTGGCCTTTTGTTATCACAGGAGAAAGAGCTGCCGATTATAGATTTCACTTTAAAGAACTCTGATAATTTGTCCAACCTGATTCCATTTCAGAACATTGCACTGTTTATGAAGGTGTCATTTAGTATGGGGGCAGCCTCTCCAGTGTGCAGAGAGGGGACATAAACCTGTCTTGATAATGTGCACATTCTTGTGTGTCTGTATGCAACAGGGCACGTGTGTCAAGGTGAAGAGTCAGCAGCTGTGCTCAGGGGTGCTACATCTGGCCCAGCTGGGACACACTGTAATGCAAAAAGCTTGCAATCCAATGCTAAAGCCTGTTAGTTCAGCATGACTATTCTTATGGGCCTTGTGAAGTCAAGATTTTAAAAGGAAATTGTTTGGGCATAAATGGGCCAAATCCTGTGATTTTTGAAAGCTAAAGTATCAGAAGGGAAACAAAAAAATCACAACAGTACAGTGTCTCCCCTTGTCTTTTTAGCACAGCCAGTTCTTTGTATACCTGCAATTTGTCCTCAGATCAAAGAACTGATGAAAAGTGCCATTAACACTTCCATTGTAGGCATGCTGCTATCTTGTCTCTGCACATTCTTCAAGCTAAAATTAATATGTTGACACCCTGAAAGATTTTCCTTCCAAACAGATGGAACATGAGTAATATGAGGGGATATTCTGTGTCCAACACATTGGAAATGATACAGGACAAACTGTATGATGCCTTTGTTTACGTGAAGGAGAAGGAAAGAAGGATTTTTGAGGAGAAAGATGGAACAGAGAGATGTAAACAGATCCCTCGTGTGAGCAGTGGGCTCACCATACAGAAGATGTGGACTATGTGATGACCTAGTAGCTTACAGCAATGTTGACTTTAAGTTGTATTGACAGTCCTTCTGGGAGCTTTTGTCCTCCTGTTGGTGCTGTACTTAACCCCCTGCTCTGTAGCTTCCTTCTCTCTGTGAGTAATAAGTGATAATACTGGTCCAGCTTTAAAAACCAGGCTGTAGCGTAATCTGATGAGTTCATAGTTAGGGAATTTGTGCTTCTATTTTCATGATTTGATAGGACTCCCTGATGATTCCTGGCATGAGCAGTGTTGTGGGCCAGTAGCTCGTTATCAGTAGGAGTACTTGGCACCTATAACTTTAAATGTTCAGAGTACTTAATTTAGATTTTGAAAGTTGTTTTTATAACACATAGTCCCTATGTAGTATGTGTGTGTATGTCTGTATGTATAGATGGATGAGTAATAAAATACAAAGAGTTTCATTCACCTGAATTGTTTCCTAACATTCTTCTGTGTTCTTTTTATAAAGGAAAGGGTATTGTGCCAAATAATGTAACCCGCAGGCCAAGCTTTGAAGGATCCAATGAATCTTTTCCATCCTACCATCAGATGAGTAATGCAGCCTATGAAGGGACAGGCTTTGGAGCAGAAGGTGCAAATATGCTTACTGAAGTTCCAAGGCCATACATGGACTATTTAATCTCTGCTTCGCAGTCTTCAGCTATGAATGCTCCTGTACAGCGACCCTCTGGAGTAGGCACTCACAGCACACCAACTAGCCATCAGCAGAAAGCATACCCTACAAATATTGAGTCTTCTGTGATTAATTATCCAGTGGCTAATCACAGCAGTCAGGCCTTGCAGCTGCAGGCATCCCATGGCTCCAACAGCCAACATTACAGTAGGCAGCACATGATGGTGCAGGGGGAGCCTATGGGGTATGGTGTCCAGCGGAGTCCATCCTTCCAAAACAAGATGCAGCAGGAGGGAGGATATGCCAATCTCCCAAATAAAGGGGCAGTTGTTCAGAATAATACTGGTCATGCATTTCAGCAGGCACCGGCAAGCCTGTATATATCACATTCTCATCACAAACAGACGAGTCCTTCTTCTCATCAAATGCATGTGATACCCAGAGGTCCAGCCTTCGCTAATGATTTTTCAGACAGTCCACCACAAAATCTATTAACTCCATCTAGAAATAGCCTAAACATGGACCTATATGACATGAATAATCCTCAAGTTCAGCAGTGGCAGGCAGCAACACCGTCACGCCGAGATTCTTTACAAAATCCAGGAATAGAAACATCTCCACGGCAACACGTATCCTTCAGACCTGATGCCACAGTGCCAAGCAGAACAAACTCCTTTAACAACCACCAGCAACAGCCACAAGTGACAGTGTCTATAAGACAGGTTCCTCCAGGAAAACCTGATCCTTCAATTACGTCTCCTAATACAATCACAGCAGTCACATCTGCTCATATTCTGCAGCCAGTGAAGAGCATGCGAGTGTTGAGACCTGAGCCTCAGACTGCAGTGGGACCTTCCCATCCTGGCTGGTTACCTGCGCAGGCACCGGCTGTGGATGGCTTGGAGATCATTGAGCAGCACGTGCCACCTGTTGGGGCAGCTAATGCCTATCAGCTAGATGTGGATTATGGTAACCAGGAACTGCGGTGTCCACCACCACCGTATCCCAAGCATTTGTTACTTCCTGATACCTCTGAGCAGTTTGATATCAACTGCTTATGCATGGGTGTGGAGCAGACACTCCGTGTCCCAGTCCCCAGTTCAACGTGCAATAAGGCTGAAGAGAACAGTGAGCGAAATGATAAAAGTAGCAAGAACACTAAAGCTGAAAAACCAAGCAAGGATAAAAAGCAGATTCAGACGTCTCCGGTACCTGTGCGAAAAAATGGCAAAGATGAGGAAAAGCGAGAATCCCGAATAAAGAGCTACTCACCTTTTGCCTTCAAGTTCTACATGGAGCAACATGTAGAAAATGTCATAAAGACCTACCAGCAGAAAATTAACAGAAGATTGCAATTGGAGCAAGAAATGGCAAAAGTAATTCTCCTTGTTTTGTTATAATAAAAACTAGTGGGTCGAATTGATTATTACTATTTTTAATCCATTAAAAAAGTTAAGAGGCAGTCTCCAGTGGAAGTAGTAGGTATCAGACACCTCCCTATACCAGACTGTACTCACTTAGAAGTGTGGATGCAGGTATGGAAGGCTGTTTGAAAAACCTGAGATGTGAAATGATATATCTTCATACGAGAAAAGGAAAATAAAGAAAAACTCCCATAGCAGGAAAGTATTAGGATTGCATAGGTAAGAACTCAGAAGGCAGACTTGAGGCTGAGATAACTCTGGCAATACTTTGGCAGCTCTTGCAAAACTCTTTCCTCCCTCTTCCATGATAGCTGCTCATTCACCAAAGCCATTGTTCAACTTGGCAATATATTAACTGTGCCATATTTTCAGATGAGTGTGTAATACTTGACTGGAAGTTGTCTGTTGAACACATGTAAGTAATAATATCATACAAGTAATCTTATCTTGACCAGCTTGAACTGATTTTAGGACCGTTGCTGGTTGTTGTAGAGGCAGGTTTCAGGGAGGTGCACTTTGTGTGATAGAACTTCTTTCATGCCTAATTGTAGCTCTCAAATCTAAGCTTATTCTCTGATAATGCTGCTTAAAACAAAGCTGCCAAGTTTTGATGGTTGCTCTGGCAGTTTTGGTTTTAATTTTTAAATATGGCAGAGGAAGAGGGTTTTTTTTTTCCCCAGGCATGACTAGAATATGACTAGTCTACTTTTGCATTTAAGGATAAGCTCTAAGGAAATCTATTATTAATGCATAAGATAATAATTAACTATCCAATCTTCCCTAGCACAGTCAGTTTCCAGAGTCAATTCATTTGATGCTCACATTGCTCCAGAAAACTCAATGGTTTGTTTGTTGAGGTTAAAATTAGAGGAAGATGTTTCTAAAATCTCTTGAAAGGTCAGCAGTTTAGTGACAGTTAATAGTTTGTCCTCACTGCAAGTACAGATTGTGTTGTGTTGCATGGATTTAGTGAGTATTTTCCTGAGACTGAGATAGGGAATGATCTCTAGAGAAGCGAAACAGCAGCTAATTGCGTTAGTTCTTATGACTCTTCAGCTTTCCCTTATTCAGAGATAATTCAGCTATAAACAAAAACAACTCCTTCCCCTAGCAACCTCTTCACTGACTAAAAATATACACACAGGAGATTTTGGTTGTCTGAATATTGCATTATTCTAGAATTAACCAAGAACACAACACACTAATTATTTTACCTTAAAAAATAAACACTTCCTTTATTATGGATTGATGGTCTTACCTTTCATTTTAAAAACAGTATTCCTGGTTTTAATTTGGCTGTTCTCTTCAGTTTGAAAATTCATCCTACCTGTTCTGCAAGTTTCTGCAGACCTCCTCCATCCTTTATTCAGACAGATTTAATTTTTATACTGTGGGGATCTCATTGCACAGTCTGGCTGCCCACATTCATGTTTAGATACCTAGACTACAGATGTGAAATTAAATCAGCCTAAGCAGCAGCCCTGTGGGCGTATGCTTGGGTGTCTAGCCTGCTAATCAGTCAGCTTCACCTTCGTCTCCCCTCCCCAGTGCCCCTTCTCACCAGGCATGAATCTTTTTCTCAGAAGTGATTCAGTTGATGCCAGTTACTTCAGGATTTTGGAACTGGGGTATGCAGGAAGAAAGGGGCATGTGGCAGTGGATGAATTGTCAGAGGATCCTGGGGATCAACCCAGGGGGCTTCTGCTGGTGGAGGCCACCAGTGGCTCTCAGGAGAGGGACAGTGTGGGACAACCAAAGTTTCAGCATACAGGCTCTGTCTTGAAGGCTGGGGAAAGGCTCCCTGGGGACAGGAGGTGGACAAGTAAGCACTTTTACAACTTAGATACAGAGGGAAAATAATACATTTAGGGGGAAGATAGCACTAGGGTCTGGGCTGCAGTGGCTAAGCAGATGCCAGACCTGAGGATTAGATGCACATATTCTGGAGGGAAAGAGAAGTTTAAAGAACAGATGCTCAAGAGATCTACAAACCTTGAGAGTGGAGGCTGTATATGGCAGGGGAAGAAAAACAGTTTATGAAGTAGGCTCCAAGGTAATTGGGAATGTGTAGGTCAAAACTAGCTTATTAATTTCAACACAAAAACCAACAGGTAAACGGCACCCAAGGTAGGAACTGTTAATGTGAGTTGCCCTGGAGAACCATTCATGAACAAAGTGAACTGCTGCATCTAGGTTTAAGTTTCAGTTTAAATTAAGCTGTACTGCAGTGTGCATACATACCATGGAGTGCAGTGAGAAAGTGCACATTTGAAAGGTGTAAACCAAATTGCATGGTCAGGTTTGTTATGTTATATTCCCCTCTGTGACAACATTGCCCCATGTGTTTTTGTTCAACCAAATGAGACAGGCAGACCAATCTCAGATACGGCAAATTCAGGTAACAAGTTAAGGTACAGTGAATTTGCCGGTTTCTCAGAAATACTCACAAGAGAGTATGTCTCTCATGAATGCATCTTTTCTGGTTCTTGGTTAATTTTTCTGAGAAATGTGTTTTGGGAATGCTCATTTATTGTTCTCTTGCTATGGATATAACAGTACTTGCTCTTGTGGTTTCCTTTTCTTTGTAAAGGCTGGCCTTTGTGAAGCAGAACAGGAACAAATGAGGAAAATTCTCTACCAGAAGGAGTCCAACTACAACAGACTTAAAAGGGCCAAAATGGACAAATCTATGTTTGTGAAAATCAAGACTCTGGGTATTGGTGCATTTGGAGAAGTATGCCTGGCCTGCAAAGTGGACACCCATGCCCTGTATGCCATGAAGACTCTGCGAAAGAAAGATGTGCTAAACCGGAACCAGGTGGCTCATGTCAAAGCAGAGAGGGACATACTTGCTGAGGCAGACAATGAGTGGGTGGTTAAACTCTATTACTCCTTCCAAGATAAAGACAACTTGTACTTTGTGATGGACTACATCCCTGGTGGGGATATGATGAGTCTACTGATTCGGATGGAGGTCTTCCCAGAGCGTTTGGCTAGATTTTATATTGCAGAGCTCACTTTGGCTATAGAGAGTGTGCACAAAATGGGATTTATTCATCGAGACATAAAGCCAGACAACATTCTGATAGACCTTGATGGACATATCAAACTGACTGACTTTGGACTGTGCACTGGATTCAGGTGGACTCACAATTCAAAATACTATCAGAAAGGTAATGTTTTTAGACTTTATTGGGAATGGTATTACATTGTTTATTTTGAAACAAGCACTTACCTTTTGGCAGAAACACCAGCTGAGGAAACTGAGGTGGTGTGAACATGGACAAACAGTCAATGGCAGTATTACGTCTGTCTCTCTCTGATTTATGCAATTAGTTTGTTTCCAGTCCTTTTGTTTCCAGTATTGTTCAAAACCCTGTCAGTAAAGTGGCTGTTCACTGTAGCAGCAGCAGTTTTTCACTTTATTCTTTTAGTGGTGAAATTATTTAATTACAGATTTGAAGTAGTCCACACATGTCCTGTGTGTGCTGTGGAGGAGTATTGGTGTCTGTTGGCAAAAAGGTCACAAAAAATTCATATAGCTAACCTAAATATACTCCATTGTTCTGTATCCACCATATGGAAGCATACTTCCTTGTGCAGAGACAAAGACATTCTGTTGGACATTTTGTATGGAAAACCCATTGTGAAGAGGAAGGCAGAAGGAAATACCTTGGGTTTAACATTTCAGTGCTGTTCTTTAGCGAAAGTAGAAGATGGCACTAGATGTAGGTAACTATTTTTCTCTTCGTGTGCATGTTTTATGATCATGAATGTAAACTTTCTCTTGCATTTGAAAGGGAGCCATATCAGACAAGACAGCATGGAGCCCAGTGATCTTTGGGATGATGTGTCCAATTGTAGATGTGGAGATAGGCTGAAGACATTGGAACAAAGAGCTAAGAAGCAGCATCAGAGATGTCTAGCCCACTCATTAGTTGGAACCCCAAATTACATCGCTCCTGAAGTCCTGCTTCGTAAAGGTAGATAAACCTTTATTTTTTTCCTGTTTAAGTGAACGCTGATGCTTTGAAATACTTTTTTTTTTCCTTAAATAAGCTTGCTGCTTTGGAAGGTTGTCATTCTGAAGGCCACAAACACTTAGCTCAGATTAAGGAGAACTCTCCATGCTCCAGTGTTTAGCATCACCTTACTGGCAGTGGTGGTGGTCATACTTCGTGTGTGTTTGTATATCCCCACTCTGAGGCCTTTAAGCGAGACTGCTAATAAATGTGTGGGATAACATTAGCAGTGGTATTTTTCAGGTGTATAGCAGATTGTCTGTATTCATGGAGTACAACTGACTGCTGTCAAGTTTACATGGCCCAGTGAGCAGCCAGCCAGCTGATGGTTCTGGATCACTGTGGAAACATGTCCTCCAGATTCCCAGCCAGAACTGGGGAACCCAGCAAAACGTTTTCCACAATTTACGCTGGAGATCCTGCATTTAAAAGCTTCGGTCAAGGAATTCAGACAGTACTTTGTGACTATCTGTGCAGAACTGACATGGTCACTGCAGTAAGGAGATTTAGGTGTTCAAAGTTGTCTGCAAGCTAAATCCTAAGCCTGATCTTTCTCTAATTGAGAGATTTCACACTGGACCCTACATCATCTGATGACACAAGTCTCCATTGAAATTAGTGTTTAAATCCCCCATTCCCTTTTGGAGATCTCAAACATATACCTTATTTGTCTTGTTACAGCAGTTAAGTGATTGAAGTTGTTCCTCTGCTTGGAACTTGCTCAGAAAGTCATGTGTGGATCTCTTCTGTCTCTAGAGCCAGACTGTGTCTTTCAGCAGCTTTTCAAACTTGTGGTATCACCTCCACCGAACCCTACGGGGGTCGCTAAACATTTTTTGTTATTCTTTGAGATCCAGTTTGTGCTGTGTAGGTGTGGGACAGGGCACGAAAAAAACCTCCTTCATTCTTTCGAATTATATGGTGTCACGACTCAGTTTGTGTTCAGAATAAAATTTATTCAGAAAGGTTCACAGACAACAGGATTAGATCTTTAGTGGCAGCAGAAAATTTGGGTCAGCAAGCAGAAGTCACAAATATGAAGTCTGAGTAAAGGCAGAAATCTGTGCTGTATGTTTTAATACTTAATTGCAAGTAGCTTTATACACATTCTCCTTGGCTTGTGGAGGTCAACCTTTGGCTTGCCTTTCAGGATACACTCAGCTCTGTGACTGGTGGAGTGTTGGTGTGATCCTCTTTGAGATGTTAGTGGGACAGCCTCCTTTTCTGGCTCCTACGCCCACAGAAACCCAACTGAAGGTAAGTTGAAGCAAAGTCCTAATCTCTGGTAGCAAAATTTTAACCTTTTCCCTTCCCTTCTCCATGCACAGACCTAATTCCCCTTTGTTTCACTAGAGAAAGGAGTAATTTAAAAAGCCTGACTTTAAGTAGTTCCGTGCAAGCACATATTCTTTCCCAGTCAACAAAAACACTGAATTTCAGACCAGAACTTACTCTTCCAACTGCATAGATAGGTATTGGTTTTATGAGTCTTCTCAGCAGAGTTCTGATTTCTTAAGCACGAGTTCATCCATTTAAATTCCTTAGAGTGCCTATCAGTAAGCTGATATGCCAGTGATAATTGCAGTTGGCAATGTGTTTCAAAGGCGAGCAGTGGGTAGTTCTTTATTAGAAAGGATCTGTCTTGTGACCACTTTTCCTAGTTTACATTTTGGAGAAAAAGTGGAATAATTCCTTGAAGTAATTCCACAAAATCATGTGTAAACTGAGTATGTTCTCAAATCTGACTATGGGAGCATTCAAGAAGGAATCTACCTTTCTAAAAAATGCAATTACTTCTTTTGTCTGCTGGCCAACAGTGTTTTTTGATCCATTAAAATAATTAACAAGCAATGCAATTTAATAACTGGGTTCTTGGACCTCTGAAATGTGCAGGCTATGAGTGGACTCATTATGTGTATACTTCTGCACAGTTAGTGTTGGCCATTGCAAGGGTTCTGTTTACAGGATTACAAGTTGCTTAATACCTTTTTTACCTGTAGGTGATAAATTGGGAAAGCACACTGCACATTCCCTCACAGATCAAGCTAAGCCCTGAGGCAACTGATCTAATCACAAAGCTCTGCTGTGCTGCTGAAGACAGGCTTGGAAGAAATGGAGCAGATGATATTAAAGCCCATTCTTTCTTTCACTCTATGGACTTCTCTACCGATATCCGTAGGCAGCCAGCTCCCTATGTTCCAAAAATCAGCCATCCAATGGACACTTCAAATTTTGATCCGGTTGAAGAAGAAAGTCCTTGGAATGATGCTAGCGGTGACAGCACCAGGACGTGGGATCCACTGGCCTCTTCCAATAGCAAACACACAGAACATGCTTTTTACGAGTTTACTTTCCGAAGATTCTTTGATGACAACGGGTATCCGTTCAGGTATCCCAAACCTTCTGGAATGGAAGTTGGCCAGTCTGAGAAATCTGACGTAGAAGACAAAGGTGTGGTGGATCAGACTGGAGCTTGTCAGCCTGTATATGTGTAAATTATTGTATAGATTACTGCAGATGAGACTAATCTCAAATCCAATAGGGCCTTTAGCTGATCCTTTAGGATCTGATCCTGCAGCAGTTATTCAGGTGTACCTTCAGCTGAGGCTGGAGACATCTTGGGGAGTCAGATGCTTGCAGGACCAGGTCCTAAAAATGGCAATCTTGAAAGTTCAGGTCAGTTCTACTGTAAATAACTTTGTTGATAATTACACTTGAAATCCTGGTCTTCACCAAAATCTGCAAGGCCAGCAGTCTATAATTTCTAGGCCTATTTTTATTTGAGGTCAGCATCCCCCTACTCAGATTAACATTTACAGACTTCTGCAACTGTCAGCGTTATTTTTTAAATGAATAAAGAGCACTTATATTTTGTTTATAGCAGGGTTTTTTTCCTACTAAATTATAGGGATTAACTTTGACAAATCATGCTGCTGTTCTTCTTTTCTACATTTTTATTTTATCCATAGCACTTATTTCACATTTAGGAAGAAGCATAAAGCTGAAGAACATGTGATGAAAGGTCTCTGTGCAATAATGTAAGAAAGAAAGAAAAAAAAAAGAAAAATGAAAAAAGAAAACTGCTCTCTAATTTTCTAAATTTACTGATGCCATTGTATTCACACGGTGATTTTGTTTATTATATGTATTTTCCACATTTCAAAATTGTGACATAACCTTAAAGCTGCTTTATTTCCTTCTGCTTATTGGAGTGTAATAGAAAGTGTGAGCAAGTGACAATTTGGGTGTGATTTCATTGTCTAGTGTGTGAAGAATGTTGCATGAGCAGTGTTTTTCTATTTGAAATGGCCTTTTCTTGCCATTCACAGGCAGGTCCTGTGGATCCATTTTTCTAAGGGTCTAAAATTAGACCATTTTAAGCCGTGTGTTGATTATGTATTGTGTGGGTGGTTTCCTCTTGTGATTGTATCCAATATTAATTTTGTAAAACGGATTGCAAAGGTTGTACCTGAATAGAGATTTTGTGGTCTGATGCGATAGACCGTTTTAGTAAGCTCACGTCATCGGCACACGTTTCCCCACCAAGGTTCAGCAGCAAGACCATGACAACAAAACTGGTTTGTGGCAGCTGCCTGGATGGGGCTGGTCCAGGCAGGTGGTTGTGGTTCACTTCCACCAGCGCTCACAGATGCAAACCAGGATGTCTGATGCTGTGCTCCCACAGTGCGTCCAGATCCCAAGTGCCACGTTGGGCGTGTGCAGCTCCACGGACATCTGCGGAACCTGGAAGTACGTGGCTTTTCCAGACATCACATCCCTACATGTAACTGGCTGCGTGTCCATTAAGGACCCTGGTGTTTTAGCCAGTGACATCTGAAAATGTTGGCATTGTTGATAGGTCATTCTGTCCTGTTGTCTAGAGGTTAAAATGTTGCTGTGATGGAGCACAATAGGCCTTCATTTCTGTCAAATTATAGGCATATTTTGAAATATCAGTTTTTAACTATGTTAAAATACGCGTTTTTCTTGTATGTATAAGTGAGAATTATTCAAAGTGATATCAGAATACTAAAGATAATTAAGCCATACATATTTGCATATATATTATATATAACTAAATAAGTAAACACACACAAAAATCCTTAATTCAGATTAGTGTAACAGTCCTGTTTAAAGCGATTGACCTAATAACATTTGAGGAAAACACTCCTTTAATGTGTTTTTGCTTTATTTTATTTTTAAATCTGGAGCTTCATTATTTTTTCCGTATATTATTCCACATATTATTCCTTAATGTTTTAGCATATCCTATCCTATCCATTGTTTAGATATCTAAGCAACAACATATGAATTCATCAGCCTGAACTAAACAAAAATGATTGTGTATTTGTTTACATTTGTATGAAAGGAATGTTCTGAGGTATGCAGTGCTTGTGTTGTGACAGTTCATGTAAGATTCAGTATTACTGCTTTTTTATATAGTAATGCCATTTTTTGTTATTTACATCTATCTGACATTCTTTCATGTGGTAGGTTCTTTCTCAGGAACTCAATTTAACTGTTATTTATTGATATATCATTGCCTTTGAAAGCTTCTACTGGCACAATTTATTAAAAATCTGGATCAAAATCTAAAATGTGTTATGTGTTCTTGAAACAGATAACTTCTGCTGCCTCTTTTAAGGCAGAAGTTTTAATGGGTTTGGTTTTGTAATGTTAGTGATGGGTTTGAGCTACAAACATGAGATCCAAATCTCATCTCTCATGTAGCATTTGATATGGAATCTCTGAGTACCTTCAGACAATTTCTTCTGTCCTCATGGCCCTTAAGAATAAGGAGCAGGATTGCAGAAAAACTTGCTGTGGTGTGACCAGGTCAACAGGTGGCATAAAATTCAACACAGTCACTTTCTGTGTAGTGGTGGTGCTTCCAGGGCAGCTGCAACCCTTGCTTGCCCCCTCTGACTGTTGCCTCTGATTTATTTCTAAACTGTAAATAATTCACCTGCAAATACAGAATCTTTGCAACTAAGCAAAACAAGAGAAACTAGCCCAGAAGGAAATGGGTGCTTCCACAATGCATGTATTAGTCATTTAGAATCTATGCTGCAGGGAACAAAAGCCAACTTCCATTTCACCTACAGAAGAACTGATTTGAAAAACAAATCTTTTATTAGGCACTGTCTGTAGAAGGCTCACATCCTTTGCAGACAGTTCAGATGCAAACAGAAACTTGGGAATAAATATTAGGAAATCTGGACAAGTGAACAATATGCCATATATTGAGATTGGTGCCCAGCATTCTTGGTTCTGCTGAACTTCCTGCAAAAACATCAGGTATCTTCTTTTCAGAGGTTATATAAATTCAGTGTTTGTCTTAAAAAACCCTCTTCCTCAAAAACACCCCCCAAAACAAACAAAAAAGCCCAGATGTATTTCTTCTTGACTGCAAGCAAGGAGTTTATTAATTTTGAAGTAGTGTTCTTGATTAAGGTCACGGGTGACATTTGAGACATAATCTTGACTTTACTAAGGTTAAACCCGCTGCTGATCTTGGGAAGACCAGAATTTCATTCCTGGGTTTCAGCAAAGACATGTATGCACAGTAACACTACTTACTGTGTGTACAAAAGTGTGAATAATTGCCTCAAAACTTTTAAGAAATTGCTGCTTCCAGAATGAAAACTTTATAAAGCAGGGGTGCCAGGGGCACAGGAACAAAAAGGGGCCTCTGAAGGCCTTTAATATCTGTACTCTTCAGTGTGGCCAGATTTGCCGAGCAGCAGCCACAATTCTTGGTTAGCAAATTATTCCTAATTGGATGCAAAAGAACTGGCAGTGGAAGTTATAACTAAGTGCAACATGAAAGCTAAATGAGAGAGAGAAGCATTTGACTTTTAAATGGAAATGGAAGAATGAGGTTAACTATGCAGGAAACAGGCGATAGCCTGGAACTGGATGGAAAACTGGTCTCATGAGCATAAGAAAATTCTTTTCCCTGTAATTTTTGAGGTATGAAATAACTGCCTTAGAAGCTTTCCTAGAGAAACTGTAACAAGAAGCGGAATTTAGAACATATAATTTGGTCCTATCCCAAAATGCAGAAACATTGGCAGAAAATGGCAACTGTTGCTAAAATTATTATTGGAATTAAAAATATTAAATCTTTCCCACAGGAAATAATCTTAGGAATAGATAATGTAGAAATAGTTACCATTAAAACACACACACACAAAAAAAAATAAGTGTAAAAATGTTTTTCCTGGCAGAGAAATCTGCTGCAGCAAGAACATGGAAGTTGTGCCTTCCTTGGGTTTCTGTTCTGAGCAGTGAATGAACAGTGAGCAGTATTTGTTAAAACCGAGTCCTGGGCTCCATCTTAACAAAACAAATGGAGGATCTGATCCGTAAAGCTGGGGTCACCTGCAAATGCAACAGTAGCTCCAGGCCCTGCAGAAGAAACTGGAGCCTGGTGACATGAACAACAGAAGTTTGAACAAACTGATGGATGCGCTGACTTTGCAGCTCTTGTGGTTTGGAAGGTGCCTTTACTTCAGTTCTGTGAGGTGAAAAATACCTGAGCCAGCAGCTATTAATTTTTAGGTATGTGAAGAAAATGGGTTTTCATGAAGCAGCCTTCTGTGATCTTTGGGTATTTGTTAAATTTCAGTGAGGCTCAATAAATAGAGTTTAGGCACACCTTATCTCCTGGTCTTGGTCCTGGGATCCCCATGACCCAGGAAAGCCCCAGCTACTTGGCCCCTTTGATGGATGTATAAGAATACAGGGAATTGAATGCAGAAGGGGTACACATGAGCAAGGGGAAATAGTTGATTCTGTTAGATCATGAGTGGCAGCCAGGAAAAAGAGTTTAGAGATGTCCAGCCTTGCTGCAGTGCGCAGTGGTTACCCCTTGGAGGTGCACGTGGGGGCGAGAGCATTCATGTCGGGGACATCCTGTTTGTCTTGCATTGTTGGGAGCACACAACACCCTTCTCAGCAGGGAGCCTGCACATGTGCTCATGCAGTGACCCACAGCTTTGGGTCATGCTGTACAGGGAGGAAAGAGGCTGTATTGTCACCCAGCTCCCACACCACCTCCATCCCCAGGCTGCTTTAAAGGAAACAGAGCAATAGCTCACCACAATGCTGCTGGTTTGGCCAGCCAAATGCCACAAAGGAGCTCACCATGTGCCATGAAGTACTTGCCACAGATGGAAAGTTTTTCCCCTAAACTGGCTGTGCTTCTGAAGGCCACATCAGCTGTCCCATAAATATGCTTGTCATAATTAATAGTGCTTTTTTTCTCCTACTTCTATGCTGTTGGGCAGCTATGGGTGAGATTTTTTCCCTTCCTTTCTTCAGAGCTGCACAACTCTGCTCCTTTCCAAAAGGGGCACTGATAGCTTTTTATGGCCAAAATGGGAAACTGAGCTCGAAAGGAGAAGGATCTGCAGGTCACTTGCCAGTAACATGGTAAGTCTGATGGCTTATCTTTAGTAATGCAAAGTCTGAAAATGAAATCGCTACTCCTGAGGGTGGCCTCTCTTCAGCCTCTCATTGCAGTGGCCTCGTGGTCTGATGAGTTACTGTGTCTTCTTGACAACTGCTTTCCATAGCATTGGTCATTCTTGACCGTAATAGCAGCAGTAAGCTCAGCTCAGTAACTGCCTGTGGCGTTCATTGGTCTGATGCCAATTTCGGAGTAGTTAACTTCACTAAAAAAAGACCTGATCATGCCGAATAATACAGCCATCAGAAAGGAAAGAAGGGAACACACACGTACGGTTTATGTGTCTAACTTTGCTACTGGGACCTCGGCACGGGGCAAAAATGTTCATTGGCACATGAGCATTATGAAAGGCTCAGTTGTCCAATACTTTACAGGTGTACTCCCCAGCTATTTACATATTTGGGTTTACCTCAACACTGAAGGACTGGTAAGAGGTTTTTTGGTTTGATTTTCTAGGCATGAAATCCAACAGATAAGAAAGGTCACAATTCACAACTGATTTATAAGATAACAGCTTCAAAAGCACCTGTGTAGAGCATGTTTTAACTTGATGTTATGATGAAATTCCAAGAAAAGGAGGGGTTTTTTTAAAGAAGGAGTTCACTCGGGTGTAAACCAGGAAGACTGCAGATACCCAAGCAGAACAGGGAGTGACAGGAACAGCAGTGGGTATCAAGACTGGCTTTACAGCTGGATCTGCTTTGGATGGGGCCAGGGGTGAAAAAACAATAGGACCATAGAAATGCCGGTTGGCAGAGACCTCTGGAGATCTGCAGGCCCACCTCCCACTCGCTGTAGGCTCTCAGCCAGTGCCGGGTATGGTCAGCCAGCACTTTGTCCAGGAAAAGCCTCTGGGGATGACACATCCTTCCCAAGCACAAGGGCCTGAGGCAGACTGGAACAGGAGATGACTGTCACCAGCCATATCTGCTGCTCTCCAAGCCCTTCAGAGCCTGGTAGTGGGGATTCTGTTGTTGTTGTTCTTGGCATCAGAAGCCTCATACCACCCTTGAGCACTGTACCGTAGCTGCAGGAACGCATGGAGAGGCAGTGCCCAGCCAAAAGATCTTGAAAGAAAGTGGAGCTAAAGGGCTGTATGAAGGATTCTGAAGCTGTTGAGATGTTGGGGTACATAACAACCTCTGCTATGCCCCAGCCTTTACCCACCACTGAACGGAGCCGTGCACAGCCAGAACAAAAGTTTCACCTAAAGGAGCCCTTTTCAGAAAATGTGCACCCACATAGCCGTAGGTAAAAGAGGTGACTGCCAGAGACCAGATGCCTTTTCACAGATGGAAGTGCCAGATAAATGGCAGAGCACTGGTAGGGATGACGATGGTCTGCTGTGAGCCTTGTGGGGCACCCATGGCACGTCACCGGGGAGTGTAATAATGCCTTTTCAATATCCATCTTCTCAATGTGTTCCCTGTCCCCACTGTGCAGCAGGACTGTAACACTGACACACGTCACTGCTCTGCCCCCCAAATGCTCAATTCTGGAGGAATTATTTAAATAAAAGTATCTCCCAGAAGAAAGTTGTCTTTCTGTTCCCAGGGATCGGGTGGGGACAGGCTGTTTCCCTCAGGGAACTCTATATGTGTTGCTGAAGATCAAGTCACTGGGCAGAAAGAGGCAACTTCAAATCCATAGTGGGGTTTTTTTTTCCAAAGAAAACACTTCTCATAGGAAAATATTGGTTTGACAAAATGGAAATATTTGGGGGGAACTTACCAGTGCATTCACAATCATGTATCCAAAAAACGATAAAAATATTTTGTTTCCAAAGAAATCTAAGCAAAAAATGTAATAAAAAGGCCAAGGGTTTATATTGTGTATAACACACTCTATTCAAAATTATAAACATTAAAATAAACTGCTGTTACTATGTCATTTTGAAGTTTCCAGAAAGATTTTGGAAATATTTCTTGGAAATTTCCAACTGTGCATTCTAATTTAGGCCCAAAGGATTTTTTTTAACATTCAATTTCCCACATAGCAGGACCTGCCAACTTAAACTAGCTCTAAAAATAACAAAAGAGGTCAAACAAATCCAACTAATATCTGAAACTAAAATTAACTTAATTGACAACCTCATCTCTCATGTAACTCTGATGTCA